GCCATAGCCCTTCCTACCATCCTTTTCAACGTGATCAAATCTTACCTTGGGGACCACGTCTTTGATATCCGGGTGGGCGATGCGCGCGCACCCCTAAGACCACTAACAACTGGAGTCCCACCATGAATCTCTTTCATCCCCCTTACCCTTTGCACTTTATTTACGCGACGTGCCACAACCTGACGGCCCCCACAAGCGGATTGCCTTATATGCGGATGACAGGGCGAATTTACTCCTCGTCAAAGACCCCCTGTCAAAGACCCCTGCCCAGTTGCGCCAATGTCTGCAGTACTACCTAGGGACGCTTCCCAGCTGGTGTCGTCGTTGGTAAACTACTATTAAATGCGGAAAAGAGCAAAAACCCTTGTTATCACAAAGAAGTGCACTCTACCACTACCGCCGCTGACCTTTGAAAATTAGGTACCTTGGTGTCCTCAGGCGAAGTACTTAGTGGTCATTACAGACAGTAAGCCCTCGTGGCGACCGCACGTAAACTATATCGCGGCGAAGGCCTAGGCGGTGGCTCAAACTCTTTACCCTTTACTTTATGCCCGAAGCAAACTCTCGCTGACCAACAAACGACGCTTGTATTTGTGGTGTGACCGACCCATGACATACGCGTTCTACTGCCTGGGTTTACGACACACCGGCACTAGTCTCTTCGCTTCAAGTGAGACAAAAATAAGCTGCTACGCCTTACGACGAGCGCGCCGTGGTTTGTTCGCAACGATCCCCTACATAAAGATCTCCAGATTAAACCTCTGAGTAACGTTTTTCGACCCAATGCATTCGCTGTCCACGATCGGCTCAGTTAGCACACCAATCGATTTACTGATAGGCGAGGTCAATTACGAAATCTGGACCTGCACAAGCTATCGCCGACCGCACCATAGGCTCTAAGTATATATAATATAGGTTAGGGGTAGAATTTTTTTTTTTTTTAAATACATATATATATCTATATATATATATATATATGAGATTGCTTTAACGCAGGCTTAAAGCTAATGTGTACGCTATCACCTTGTTGAGAGCTATTGAATTGGGTATTTTCTTTTACTACCCTATCGAGCACCAGGAAATATTAATTAATAAATGATTTCAACACATTTTATAGATCTCTACCCTAAAGTGCAATGTTTTTCAGTATGTTCGTATAACTGATGTTCTAACATTACCGATTCTTTTACTTTTCTTTAATAGTTCCACAGATACTAAAATATATCATAGGTTATTATACTGAAGATGTGAGTTTGCTATTAAGATAATTTAACTGAAAAAAATGAGAATTAAAGTACTGTCTTCGTTATATATCCATACGAATAACTCAGACGGATAAACTTTTGGGTTTCAAGTTCTTCTTTAATTTCTGCCGCGCTTGACTCAGTAAACACACTTCTTGAGACGAATTTAAGTATTTATTTAAAAATAGCAGTTTAGTATAATATTCAACACCTTTAACGTTTAAAAGAGGTATAAATCTTTGTTCTTTTTCTTGAAGCAATATATTGATGCCTTGAGTTACATATTTGGCAGACAATTTTTTAATGATGTTGGTTTCAATCATTACTGTCAACGTTATCTACTCTTCTTAAATACTAGTTGTAACAGGTAATATGTTGAATTTTTTCCATTTCTTTATTACTACTACTTCTTTGTTAATATTTATATTATTCATATTACTACTACTAATATCACAATAAGTTATGACCTATTCAATTCTATTACTGTTACTAATACTATTATAAGTGTTAACAATTTTTACTAGATCAGTACTTCTAACGCTTATTATTATTGCTATAATGTTTAATGCCGGCTTTAATACTGTATTATCGATTTCTACTAGCACTAATAGTAGAGTCAGTATGCTTCGTCTCGTTGGGATCTGGCCGGGTTCTAGTTATCCTTTAAAATATTTTTTTAAGTTCATGATACAGAATATTTATTTCTGTTTGGTACTGCAAAGCAATTTGTCTTCCTTAAGATTTTGGGAATCCTCAAGCTTATCAATTTTTTTAATTTTTAAAGTTAGCTATAGCCTTGCTTGCCCTCTAATTGTGCGTTAAGTTCTCGATTATAGCTAGCAGTTTTATTACCGTATTTGTAGGGGTGTTATGTATTCATTATGTACATATTTCTAAAAAATAGATTTATATATATGTATCTAAGCAAATAAATATATATAGTTAAAGTTAGCAAGTAAGCGGTTGTGATTATTAAACAGTATAGAACTTTTTAAACTCCTTAAAGGGGTTGGGTTGAACTTTATTATTTTTTAATATTACTAGCTCTTATATGCTCAATTAATTTAAGTGCAAAACGCTTGGCAAGGTTTTTAATTAATAATTTGTTTATTGAATAGAACATAATAAAAAATTTTAGGGGTTGTTTTTGTAGAAAACTATGATAATAATAGGAGATAAGAGTAGTTAACGTTATTTAAATGCACAAGGGACTTATATAAATGAAAAATTTGGGTGAGTTAGCAACTTTATACAATATTTTTTTGACTGTACGTTGAAAAATATTGCTAGAATTTTACGTACAAGGCGTGATGTAGTATAAAGCTTGAAAAAAATGATGGCGTACCCTAAATAGTAGAGAGTTTTGATGGCCGAATATGACTAGAGCGCAATAAGTCCAAGCTTAAGTTAAAACTCTAGCATCATATCCAATATAATTGTAATAGGATGGGCTGTTGCCAACAATGATGCCAAAATCTTATACGTTAGGGTAATGAGAAACTGGGATATCATTGATAATGATACGTTAAACCAGTTCTTCATATCTTGAATAGATAATAATGGCTGCGCTTTCAGAGGGACTAAAAAAGGGTGCAACTGAGCAATTCAGAGCTGGATCTAATATCCCCCACATGTTTAATAGAGAACGGAACAGTTTTAAAAATGCCAACGTTAATTGTTTGTCCCTCAGTCCGGGGTTCACCGATCTCGGGTGCCCCAACGTTTAGCCCATGGCAGAGCGCGTGCTTATAACGTACAAAAAAAGAAAGTCGCGTCGGTGGTAATCATACCCAAGGCCTTGGATATGACCGTCAATGCTCTCAATCGCTCTACCACGCCGATAAATTTCAATGCAGGTATGATGGATTTACATATTTAACCAGCCAAATGACATATCCGTTTATTGTTTGAGCCTACGTCTATCCGGCAGAAACTTCTTTACGTCAAGCGAGTTCAATAAGCAGCTACGCCTTTGGTAGCGCCGTAGTTTGTTTAAAATTACTGAGTCCTGATTGCCAGGCCGGAAAGGCTTACTAAGCAGTACTAGAGGAGAATTCAGTTGAGCCCGTTATCGTGGCTCGCGCTTCGCTTATTAAATTTTGTTATTTATAATAGGGGTTAGGGCTTAAAGTAAATAGATAGATATACATATATATAATAATGTTTTTTTAACAAGCTTAAATCTTATTAGTACCACTATCACTTTTTTAAAAGTTCAAATTCTCGGAATTTCTGTCCCTATTGGGCTCTCAAAAAAAATACTAAATATAAATAAATAAATTTCAGTAATGTTACGTTATTATTTTCAATTAATAATAAATTAATATTTATTAATGGAGCGAGCGATTCGAGCGTAGGAAAGACATACGAAAACCATTTAAAAGAATAATTTAACTTGTTATATTATTATCTTATTTAGTCAGCAGCTCAAAAGTATTTCGCTGTCCTCAAAATATTATAACAGCAAAGTTACAATTAGATACGAGCCCAGTAATTTTTTTTTAAATAAAGTCGAATTTTAAGTTCTTAAAACATTAGAGGAGGTTTTGATAAAGTGCATTGTACTTTTTTTAAGTAACTACTCAGTCTTCCTCAGTCGGAACGGAAGATGAAGGAAAACTATGTTTTAAGGTTTCCAGCGAATTCAGAACTTCATCTCTTTTTGATAAAAGGTAAGACAAATCAGTTCTATTTTCAATATTGTAAATATCGGGGAGATATTCAATAACTCGGGAATGACAGTTGATGGCTGTTTCTTTATCGCTTGTATAAATATTACTGCTATCAGTACCATATAAATTTTCCACAATGGAAGTATCAGTAGTGTTAGCGGGTGGTATTGCAGTAGTTGCTGAAGATTTGTTATTAGGCGAAAGTGAAAAGTTATTTGAAGAAAAAGGTGGTTCTTGTGAAGAGTCGCTCTTGGTTGTCTCCAAAAAGTAAGACTGCTTTAATAAAGGTTGTTCACTTTGCTTCAGTGAATTGTTCAGTATTGGTGTTCCCGTAAAATGTCTTTCAGATTGTTTCTTTAAAAATAATTCATCCTCCGGAAACGATGCAACATTACAAACTCTTACTCCTTCCAATCTTTCTGCTTCCGGGATACGAGCTGTAGAATCCACCCAAGCCAAGCCAAGTTCTTCTTGTAACCCGAACGGTATAGAATTTTGACTTTTAACCTTAGAGAACTGAACACTAACTTTTTTTTCTTGCTCAAGTCTGGAGATGACCTCTCGTTCCATAGAAAGATCGACAGACTTATAATTATGAATGTTACCTTAAGTTGTAATTTACTATAGGCAATAACATAAATAATTATATATAAGGTTACTCAATAATTAATTAATTATATACGGTATAGAAAAAGAATATATAAGATTCAGAGTATAATGAATTAGCATATTACTTGTTCTTCATTATAAAAAGTAGTGATATTTGTTTCTATTCGGGGCGCAAGAATTATTGGCTGGCATAACTCATTGACGAAAAAGGGGATCTGTAATCAATTTATAATTACAAGAGTAAAATATATATAAAATGTAATACAAACTCACTTAACTTCTTTTAAAATGGTCTGGCTATGATACATGAAATGTTCTATCCTTTAATTAAAAAAGCTGTAATTTCAATACAAATATATGACTAACTGTGCGTAGCTTCGATTAAAAACAAATTAGAGGGAAAGGGCAAAAATAAATTTCTTGAAGAAAAACCCTAACCACCCGTTTCCTAGGCGAAGAGGATCGGGTTCTCCCTCTCTTGTACCTTGCAAGGTTAATTTAGAAGTATTAAGAATAACAGTGTTTCTTTACAAATGGAAACATCCTTTTCTTGCAACTTGTGTCATTCCCCTATAGAATTATATTTAAATGAAATTCAGGATTTCTTTTCTACGTTAACTCAGTTGAAAGAACAAGATTTAGGTTGGCAAGCCTTTTAGAAACTCCAGATGGTCACATTTTACTTATTACTATCATTGTTACTTTTACTTTTACTTTATAAAGCGACTTTAGACCTTCAATGTCCTTCCAATTGTTCTTATTTTGCTTGTCAAGGGACATCTTTATCCCAAGAAGAATCCGACAGAGTTATTTTACTTTTCTTCTAATTGTACTAATACGTTTGAAACATGTTAATTCTTGCTGCCTTTAATTTATTTTTGTAAAGTTAGAGACCTTATATTAAATTTTTTTTTAATACTATAAGCCTGTTGAGGAATTTATTAAATTTTTGAGAGAAAATTCGATGTTAGATAACCTTCTTTGTATAGCTTGCAGTGGTCTTTTTTATATTTTCTTTTATTATATTTCTTTTACTAGTTTTTTTAGGTAACTTTTTTTTGTAGATAAGTTTATAAGTTTAACGTTTTTACACCATTTAAAAAATTTATTAACCAATAAACGATAACTTATATTGTTTGTTGTTTTTTTCTCTTGTAGAGTTTAATATAACTTTAGAATTTAAAACAAGTTGGCATTTCAATTTAAATTTTCTATTACTGTAAAATGATATTTAGATCAAATTATTTGCGAGCTTGAAGCGCGAATTAAGGACACGGAGGAAGAAGTTGAAGCCTTGAAATGTTTTATAAAACCACTTCAGTACAGAGAGGAAGAAGAACTTGAGAAAGATTTACAAAAGGTAGAATTTACCTAGCATTCAACACAGTTTTTATTTTGTGTTTTTGCTTTAGTAACTGTTAAATTTTACAGGGCTAATTGCCTTTTTTAAACCATTTTATAATTAATATTAAAATTTTTATTTGCTAAACACATACGGCTCTTATCTTTTTTTTTCCGCCGTATAAATCTAGAGTTAAGGTTTTAAGAAAAGTATTTCAAATTTAGACTTTTTATTAAGATATACTCGTGGTTTAAAAACTAATATTTTTTTAATGTTTATATGCTATTAAATTTTTTAAGTTACCATCGCTTAACCATTTCTTATAGCTCTTATCTGAAGAAGCTGAGTTACAGCAGGAACTTGAAACTAAAAAACAAGAAGTGTCTCGTCTTGAAAGTGAGCTAAATCGAATTAAAAAATCTTGTGTAGAGCTACAGAGCTCTCTAGAAAAGTTTGTTTGCTTTTAAAGATCCCTATGGCCTATAATATCCTTACGAAAAGCATAAAATAATTAACTACTTTAATGTATTATTATTTAAAGACAGAGTTACGCGGATATTGAAGCCCGTTACGAGCGTGAGGCATCACAGGGAGAAAGCGCACGTCTTGACTTCACCGTCATGTACGCATGCGAACAATTGAATGTGCTAAAAAGAGTGAACGTATATAACGACAACTTTCACATATGGACAAGCGGGCCCTTCGCCACCATTAACCGCCTGCGACTCGGACGCTTGCCAGAGGCCCAGGTCGACTGGCACGAGATCAACGCCGCGTGGGGATACACCCTTTGGTTCCTGAGTGCCATGGCCGATAAAATGGGGTTCGCCTTTGGCGGCTACAAACTCGTGTTTCTGGGGAGTCGCTCCGAGATCCTGCAGCTGGACAGTGGCCAGCGTTGGGGCCTGTAAGCAAGTTGTTCTCTTCGGTACGGGCCAGAAATGGGCACATGACCACCAATGCGAATTTAGATGGGCTCCAGGCGGTTTCAAGGCACTGTGGGCAAGACGTTTTGACCAAGCAGCTCTCTTGTTTTTGCGCTGTCTGCGGCAGTTCGAGCGTTATCTCGCGCATATCGACTACCAAGTAGAACTCCCATATGAGTAAGCTACTGTTCTCGCACTGCAGAGCAACTCTTATCTGTTCCTTACAGAATTTCGGGAGAGATGGTGGGCGGTAAGCGCCTGCGCCTGCAGGCACCTGGAACTGAAGTTGAGTGGACGGCCGCCTGTAGACACACTTTACTAAATCTCAAATGGTGCCTAGCGTGGTTGAGAAAGATAATTCAGGATGACGGAGAATTGCAAGCCCTAAGAATCTTAAACCGATAAAGTTTTTGGATTTTACTAATTGTTTTTTATTACTTTACTATATTAATTGTGAAGGTTTGCTGGTTTGAATCGCAAAGTGGTCACTATTAGAGGTCTATAAAACTCGGCTCGCTCTTATTGGGAGCCGACGGAATAAACCAGTAAAGTGATAGCGAGCCTCCACACACCTCACAGCAAAAATAAAGTTAGTTTGCGTTACTATTAAATAACACAGAAGAACTTCTTTAAGCGTTAAATTAAGGGATCTTTTCGTGTAAGATTTACTTTGTAGAGCGTCAATCTTATTGTGTGTCACAGCATTAGGAAAATCGACAGGCGATAATTATCGTACAGCTCACCAGCGTTGTATTAGCGCAAAGTCTCAGAAGGAGAGACGTAAACATGAAGGCGGTTCCCGCACCGAAGCCGAGAGCCAAATAACCCCCAAAGATTAGCAGATTAAAAAAAGGAGAACTGACGGGTTGGGAATTCTCAAGTAGATGAAATAAGTAACTGGACAGTATAAATCTTGTAGTAAAGAACCTTTGTACTATAAAAAAGTGCCAGGCAAAGAACAAATAGAAAGAAAACACATAGCCAAAACACGTAAAAGAGGAATTGAAGGAAAAACTTGCAGTTATCTCGTGCGACACAGTTATTGATCCACGGGCTGGGAATTATATGGAGATAAAAAAATCATTAGTTAAAACTGGTTCATATAAATTTTGTAGGATCTACGGAGAAACAATAGTTTATAACATTTGAAAATATACTAAAACAGGTGAGCTGTGAACAATATTCGCAGCTGCAGCGGAGTTTATTTTACTGTGGTAAGTCATAACAGTCTTTAGGTTTCTGCTATTTTTGAGGCTCAGGTATAAAGTTTTAATAACGTTTTATTTGGTTTAACAGGAGAGTGCGTGAATATAGAGCCCCTTAAACTTGAGAGCAATATTTAATCGCGAGTGTTAAAAAAAAATTATTGACTTTCCAGCTCTTCGTAAACGCAAATATTGCTATGCAAGCTTTATGTGCTGGGGTATTAAGGTTTTAAAAATAAATTAATGGAAAAAAAAATAAACAGTAAAAATAAAAAGATTGGAAAAGGAAAACAGATAAAAATAAGTTATTAATTTTTTTAAAAAAGGTGTAATTTTAAAATAAAACGTTATTCTAATAGCAGTAACAGGAAGTAAAACTTTAAATTTGATCTAAGTGTTAATTAAGTTAAGTTAAAGAAACAAGTTAAAAAAAATTATTAGACCTCTATGAAGTCGCATAAGTTATAAAATATATAAGTAAAGCATATAAAAACCAATGGTGATCCATTTTTTCGAAGCACTTCCCGCATCTGCGGCAATGATGTACATGAACAGTTTTATAACACTAAGAGAAAAAGTTTGTGTTTGCAAAGTATAGTGTAGAGAGAAGAGCAGTATATACAAAGTACAAGCTCTTAATACAATAATTTAAGGGAACCAAGAATAAGAAAAGATAGTTTAGAATAGCTGTGTAAGTATATGACATACCTGACACTCTTCGCAAAGGCTAGGAATTCCTTTAGTTTCAAAACGAAGTAAATCTGATGTCCTAGAAGAAGCTTTGCCAGTAGCAACTGAGCCTGGTTTAATTTTTGTTTATAAAAGCTGAATAAAGTATAAATTAAAAGGAGTGAAGGCCAAAAATATTGGTTATAAAAAACAAACTATACAGAAACCTGGATCAATAAGTACGCACTGTAAATGGGAAAGTGATGCGCAAAACATAAAAAAAAAGCATGTTGAAAAAAGTATGGTGGAAAAAATAGGTCCGATAAAAAGATAACGGTGTATAAGCCAACATGCAAGAAGCCCACCAGAAAAGATCAAAAATTGTGTTAGTCTTCAAATAATATAAAAGTGTATTATTTCGTTTAAAGCTAAAAACCAAACAAAGTTCAGTACAAAACGAGTAGAATCCCGAAAACGTCAAAGATAGGCCAGCTATTATTTAAATAACGAGGCATAAGCCAAAAGCACCATTTCAACCGAATAAACATAAAAGATTTCTACTGTAAGTAAACAGGTTTCGCTTATATTAAGCAATACATAAATAACAAATCAAGAAAAATGAATTATTTTTAAAAAAATGTGTCCAATTGACGATAGGAATAGAACTTTCAACTAATTAAATAAAATGTACCCGTACGACGTTAGAGAGATTAACTGTAACTTTTCATTTTAGGTACAAAGTGAAATTTAGTTAACCGATGACCAAATATAGTAAACTACCTTATTGTTATTAATTCTACAGTGAATTTATTTTAAGGGCATTGACATTTTACAGTGCTTGATCATTATATATGCAAAAAGGGATATACAAAGTTAATTGAATTTTTTTATTTGTGTACTTGTGTACTTAAAAGGGGCACAGCACACCATACTAAACAGAGACACATAATTTTTAGGTATTAGGTGAAGTTATTAAAATAAGTTGGTATCTATAAGCATTTGGTTATATTATATATAATTTGTAAAAAGAGACAAGAGCAGCTGTGCGACTTAGGATGTCTTTGAGCAGTCTTTATAAGTGGCTTGCGCATCTTGACTTTTACGGAAGAACTTACTACAACTGTTTCCCTTATAATTAAAGCTGCTTCTAAGCTTGTTAGCTTACAATGCATACCCATAAATACCTTATCATTTTACTTGAATTAAATATATATTTAATTTATTTCCCGCTAATTCAATTCTCTTTATTTATATTTTTCTTATTTTTTGGGCGATCTCAATGTAACAATATTTAACAAATACTGTAAAACAAAATCTCATTACTAACTTAAAAACACTAAAAAACGAAAAAAGTCTTTCAAACTTAATATAATTGTGGACACTACTAACGCTGTTTCTTTTCCACTTTGCAACTATTAGACAAAGCTTAAACAGCTAAAAAAGTCAACTTTGGTATAAAATATAATGAGAGGAGTTTCTTCAAGTAGTAATAAGTACATTTTTTTTTATTTATGATTCCTAACTTCTTTGAAGCAAATAGCAATAGTAAAAAAATAACATTAATAATAACCATAATATTTAATAATAATATTGAAAATAAATAACTAGTGAAAATAATAGTATTAGTAAGAATATTAATAACAGAGTTAAAAACGTTGATAAGAACAGTATGCACGATGGCAAAGATAAAAATTCTATACTCACCAAAAGATTTTATAATAGCCTCGTGTATGTACTTAACGGAAATTATTAGAAAGAGGTACCCGGCTTACTTTCAACTAATATAATATTTTAGGGACAAATAACTGGATAAATGGAGTAAGAATTTCCATTGAACAGGACTTTATTATATAAACTTCTCTACTAGACTTGAAAATGCTCAAATACTATACTTATCGGCTCCCATTAGAAAGAAGTAGTTTTTTGTGTTGTCTTCGAGGAATTGAATGTTCAAAATAATTAGGGTTGTCGCCCTGGTGGAATAGTATTAAGAACACCGTTACCCTTAGTTTTAGTTAATTAATCCAAAAGTGAAATAAACACTTTTAATGTTAAAAAAAAATTATTTTATTTACGCAATGCCTCTATAAAAAATTGGCCAAATGAAGAAAAAATTTCGCTGTCAAAAATTCACACCACTAGGTTCTCCACTTCCCGATACAAGAGGCGTTAAAAGCAATAAAAGCCATGCGATTTTCTGATTCTTAATGGTTTTTTCAGTTTGAAGTCAACTTAAAAATTTTTTAAAAAATTGTATACAGGAAATCTCATGAACTCAAGTAAGAAATAAAAAACAACAAACAATTTAAAGTCGAACTTTGCGAATCGAAATACTCTACAAAGATACTAGTTCGTGCCTTTTTCGCTGTTGTTTCACCCACTGAAGAATTGGTAAAGAGAAGAAAAGGGGTGTATCTCCTTGTTGATACGAAGTTTTAATTACAAGCTGATAACTCTACCCTTTAGGTGTAAACAACACTTCGGTTGTGGTAAGAGAAATTTGAATACCAATATTAGAAATTTTTGAGATCATGCCATCTTTAGTTTATAAGCTTAACCTTACGGAGGCGTAAGGGATGTTACCTACGGGAAGGGAAGCTAAAGCAATAAAAAAATTTATATTTGGTTTTAACAATTCCTTTCTATAGAAGTTTTTGTTAAAATAACCTTCTATTACTAATAACATATGGTTTTTACTCACGCATTTAATTATTGCACTATATTAAGGGGGTTGGTTTAACCAAACTTAATAGCGTGACTGGTGGTTTATTTAGCATCTATAATTATTGTCTTAATGTTCATACTAACCTAATCCTCACATTTTAACTATAGAGCCTTAATGGCTTACGTTAGAACAAAACTATCGGATGCTTATTACTTAAAGTTAAAGTCCCCACACCTCTGCTTAAACTGCCTTGGTGTTACTTTGATTCATTTAAAGGTTAAATATTAAAGGAACTTAACGTAAACCTCTAAAAGCTATGGTAAGTTTAATTTATAAAAAAGGGAGATCACTAAAAATCTGTTACTTCACAGCTCCCTTTCTTGAAGTTATCGACTTAAATACCTTGGTAACAATCTAAATTGGATAGTCCACATTAAATACATGTTTGATAAGATTAAAAGACACTAATATGAAACATTAGTGCGCTAACTCTTGGTGATAAAGCTCTTTATTTTTAGGACTTGATACTGTAATAAACAATTTCCTGCCCTTTTAAGGTGATCGTCCGCTTTTTAGTGTGGTGGGAAATCTAACTTTTATAATCTTCTAGAAAATACTATATAAGGTAATTTACTAAAAAATTTTAAAAAAAACAAAGAAATTGATTGGTGGTGTTACTAATTTTGATTGGATCCTTCGAATTGATTACTTCCAAAATCAAGCCCTCCCACTAATTTTATTGCATATTTTATGCACTAATGTATACTTTACTGTCATATATGTTTTATTTTATTTAGATATTATTTTTAAGTGTTTTTAGAAAAAACTATAGACTACTAGCCTTTTCTTTAGAATTCTTTTTAGTACTGATGTTAAGCTTTGAAGACAAAACAGCTATATGAAGAAGGGACGTAATGTAGTAGATTAACCTCTTATAATTGCTGGTATATTACGCCATTTTGACCTTCTAATCTAAAAATGCATCTTTGCAAGTTGTTCGCATTTTTAATCCTTAAGCTTGGTTCCTCAGGAATCCTCTAAACATAATTTCTTATTAATTTCGTATATTCAATGTCATGATTTCATTAAAGTGACACGCAGATGGTAGAGAAATATAGGAATCGTAATGATAAACAGGAAGATGAAAACACTTTCGTAGAAAAACAATATGAGACTTAACAAAAGAATTTTTATGTTGTTGAAAGCTAAAAAAAAAAACCAAATATTTTGAGGAATATAAAATTCATTCAAAATATAGAGGTTTCAGGTAGTGATAAAAATCGGCATGTCACATTTATAAGCAACTGAATTCAGGAAAAAGGTTAATATAAACTGGTTCGTCCAAGAGATAGAGTTGGAAAGGAGTAAGCGCTAATTATATAATTAAAAATTGGCTAAAGCGTAATATGTATTGAAATTTATGGGGTTAAGTTAAATAGCAACCATCACAAACCGCAAAAAGAGTACTGTCGGTGGTAATCAAACCACCGAACCTGACTTAACGCGTCTCTGCTCTTAAAGGCTGAGCTACGATAGCAACACTCAACCTCGGTATTATGGCTTTATGCATTTTCTAATAAATTGTATTAACAAGAAAAATTTACTATAAAAGTTATTTTTAAAAATTTTTATAATTAAAAAGCAAGGAACCTGATAATAGCATTCTTAATTTTGATTAATTTTTTAATTCCCTGTTTTTTGTATAAATATCTTGGAGCCCTTACAATAAAATTAACTCTAACGCTTTATTCTATATTTATTTTTTAAATATTTTCAAAATTTTTTTTTTTAAGTTAGTAAGTTTCCTTCTTAGAATAATTTAATTTTTTTTATTAATTAATATTTCCTGGTGCTCGATAGGGTAGTAAAAGAAAATACCCAATTCAATAGCTCTCAACAAGGTGATAGCGTACACATTAGCTTTAAGCCTGCGTTAAAGCAATCTCATATATATATATAGATATATATATGTATTTAAAAAAAAAAAAAATTCTACCCCTAACCTATATTATATATACTTAGAGCCTATGGTGCGGTCGGCGATAGCTTGTGCAGGTCCAGATTTCGTAATTGACCTCGCCTATCAGTAAATCGATTGGTGTGCTAACTGAGCCGATCGTGGACAGCGAATGCATTGGGTCGAAAAACGTTACTCAGAGGTTTAATCTGGAGATCTTTATGTAGGGGATCGTTGCGAACAAACCACGGCGCGCTCGTCGTAAGGCGTAGCAGCTTATTTTTGTCTCACTTGAAGCGAAGAGACTAGTGCCGGTGTGTCGTAAACCCAGGCAGTAGAACGCGTATGTCATGGGTCGGTCACACCACAAATACAAGCGTCGTTTGTTGGTCAGCGAGAGTTTGCTTCGGGCATAAAGTAAAGGGTAAAGAGTTTGAGCCACCGCCTAGGCCTTCGCCGCGATATAGTTTACGTGCGGTCGCCACGAGGGCTTACTGTCTGTAATGACCACTAAGTACTTCGCCTGAGGACACCAAGGTACCTAATTTTCAAAGGTCAGCGGCGGTAGTGGTAGAGTGCACTTCTTTGTGATAACAAGGGTTTTTGCTCTTTTCCGCATTTAATAGTAGTTTACCAACGACGACACCAGCTGGGAAGCTTCCCTAGGTAGTACTGCAGACATTGGTGCAACAGAGCAGGGGTCTTTGACAGGGGGTCTTTGACGAGGAGTAAATTCGCCCTGTCATCCGCATATAAGGCAACCCGCTTGTGGGGGCCGTCAGGTTGTGGCACGTCGCGTAAATAAAGTGCAAAGGGTAAGGGGGATGAAAGAGATTCATGGTGGGACTCCAGTTGTTAGTGGTCTTAGGGGTGCGCGCGCATCGCCCACCCGGATATCAAAGACGTGGTCCCCAAG